ATCATTGTTTTTTCTTACTTTTAATTGTTTTTTACTTACTTTCAAAAAATCATTCAGCCAGAAATATTAATTAACAGTTCATATTTGTTTGAGATATTTCTTAAATAATGCATAAAAGTGCAAATCATTGGTACACAAAATGATGTGAAAAGAAAAATCAATGAAAAATGTACATAGCTAGGTTTTGTGAATATTCAGAGATCTATTGTAAATAATTTTTATTTTTATTGTTTTCACTTTATTTTTTTATAACAATTCAGACAAAAATGTTTATTGATCATTGATAACTTAATTATTTCATTTTACATTTGTTTTTTTTATTCGTATTCGATATGACATAAAAATTAAATTGCTTAATTTAATTTTTCGATATCAGATAAATATGTTTTTATTACATAATTTGTTTTTTGTCTGATTGAAACTAAAATATTTTGTCAGTTGACAGTATTGTAGTTAATTGGGTATAATATAAAAAAAACATAACTACTTCCACTTAGTAGGAATAACAATTACCATGACGCAATACTAAATTCTATGCCACTATCCACATAAATGCCACTATCCACATAAATCAATTATTAATCAAAAATCGAATATCAATTATTTTTCCTTATAATGCAATAAAATCTGGCGAGCAGCTATTTAAACGATCAAACACTTCGTTTGTTTATTTGTGGCTTGAAGTTAGGCTCGCAGAAAGTGCCGTTCCTGGGTTAAATTTAGTAGGAATAACACAACCTGTGACGTAGGCTATAGTATACCCAATTGAGCAATTACTTGCAATGGGTTTTGCTTTTGAAATATTACTCAGCATCAACTTATTAATATTACATGTTTTAATTTGTTTGCCATATTTTGAAGTTTTTTTATTAGGTTTTAATTGTTTTCAGTATAAAATATAAATTACTGGGGAGGGGGGGAGATGAAGCACCATATAGGGAGCGTCCGGTATCCTATAAGATCAACAATGATTTGAGTTAGAAGGGTAAAAATATATATGGGTTTCCCCTTGGCAAAATTGGCGACTTATGTTTGGCGCCATTCCTGATTGCGCGGAACACCGTGGTAACAGGAATAGCTGCCAAAATGTAATGATATTTCAATAAAACAATGGAAAATTTCAACAAAACATCGGCCAAAACTTTATAAAATTGCAATGAACCCGATATGAGCAAAATTAATAAACCCAAGAAAATGCATTTTGAATCGAAACAAAAATTAATGGAGTAGGCACAGAAGGAAAAGGAAAAAAGCAACTCACTTCTTCTTTAAGCTTGAATATCCTCAGATTTAGGTGCACCGAATTCTCTAATAGCAGTTAGATACTGTCTAAATTTATCATAAATGGAATCTGTGTACCTCCATCGCCACATAAATTCGGCGAAATACGAATAGAAAATTGCGTCGGTGGTACCGGACTGGCGATGACATTTTTTTCTGAAGTCCCTTTTTATGACTGCCCACATATCTTCGATCTTATTGACCAGAAGAAAAAGTAATCTTACCAGCCGGTATCCAACTTAGAACTAGCGGACCTCTGAAATCACATATACCGTTGAACAATTAAAAATAACGCTAAAGTCTAAACCAATCAGAATCACGATTGGATTTCAACTTCGCCCAGGTTGGTGATCAACCGCGATCACAACTTGGTGAGATTCAAGGGGCGCCCTCAAATATAGTCAACCTGAGTTAGGCTCTGCCACGTGTGTTTCGAATACGGAGATTAATCTCCGGCTAATGCCCTATAGTAATGTGTTATATAAAGCGAGGAGGCAATATTATATAAGTTTATATTGTTTGTATTAAAATTGCTTTATTTAAGTTTATAATGCTGATAACAAGGACCTCTGACGTATTACAATCCTATCATATTCTCTCTATGTGATGTTGGTGCAGAAAAATTGCCAACTAATCTCCAGGAAAACGACTTTGACCAGGAAAACGTTCGCCTCGCGAACAAAAATGTAATTGCGTAGCAGTTATTGGGAGTAATCGAAATGTAATATGTAGGGTTCTATCGAATAGGTTATAGGGTTNTATATATTTGTTGAAGAAGTTGACTAGTTGTTGGTTGATTCAGATGTGTAGCACTGTGTGTGCTAACTATTGTTTCCTCATATTATGTTTTAATAAATACCTTATTTGCCGGCATTAACCTCTGTGTTATTCAACCAAACAACATATATATATAGGAGTTTGTGGAGCACAAGAGGAAATAACGACAATAATTTAATAATCAATTTTAACATTTAATAGAAAAAAAAGGAAATAAGTTTAGCAGTGACATGATTGGTGAGAGCTGCCTTCTCGCAGGGTCACCGAATCGAATATGAATGTGAAATTAGATTGTTCTATGGAAAAGAGAGTTAATTTTAAATTCGGGACTCGTTGGCATCCTGTTGTTGTTCTATACCAAATCCATGAGGCCGTGAGTCTTCAAAAAATCGAGGAAAAGGAGAGGTCTCTCAAGAACCTTTTCCATGGTGAAATCCAGGCAATCAAGTAGATGGTGGTGATGAGCCTCGCTGGAGTTGCACTTTTTACAAGATGGAAAAAGTTTAATTTGTGCACTGAAAGTGAGTCTCTTAGTATGTCCTGGCAAATCTACAGGTAGCGGTTTGGTCAGCACGTGTACCCAGAAGGTCAAGGGCTCCTCCAGGACGCTTGCGGGCATACCAATTGTGATCCGGTGGAACAAGCCAAGCTTTATTAACTTTAGATTTGCGGATAGAAAATAATTCAGAGTAAGTGAGGGCCGTGTTTGGAGTAGCTGGGAGGGAAGTACCTTCTTTTGCCAACTGATCAGCACGTTCGTTGCCAATAAGACCTACGTGTGAGGGTATCCACTGAATATGGATGTCATGGAAGTCTGAGAGTGCATTTAATGAACGACGTATAGAGACCCCAGTCCGGTCCGTTACTCTCTCCCAATTGCTCAGGAGCTGAATACAGCTACGACTGTCCGTGAAGATCCAGACATTCCCAAAAGTGGCTCCAGTCCTGATATTTTCCAGACCTGTTTGAATAGCAATACGAAACACTGAACAGAAATCTGGATTTCTTAGTGATCTTGATTCGTGAACTTCAGCAGGATATATAGTGTAAATTCCACTGCCGGCGTGGTGATGATCGTCACCGCTACCATCCGTATAGATTTTAAGATCGTCAGCAGGAACAAGGTTTATTAGCCCCAAAGCCAATTGCTTCAAGTACTCCGGAGGGTGGTTGCCCTTAGTAACCTTAGAGAGCAGTGTAGTATGGAAAAACACTCTGGGCAAGCTTACTTTGCACACTTTGGACCGTAATGGGACATACAGGACTGCAGATGAGTTGCGGATCAACATTGAACTTTACTGCATCAAGCGAAAGGGCCCGAGAAAGAGGGCTGTCCTTTTTTAATCTTTGATAGTTTTGCCAATTAAGCAAAAATTCAGCTGTCCGATTCTGAGTGCCCAAGCTTGCCAATTTGGCATAGTGTTTTACAAGATTAGATTCCCTTCTCATTTCCAAAGACTGAAAATTTGTTTCATATAGTAGAATATGACTCTGGCAACTGTTACGCAATCCAGAAATAATTCTGGCTGCACTAAGCTGAACTTTTTCAAGCTTCTGGAGAATACTGGCCGAAGCACAGGAGTAGACCTGGAAATCATATTCCAATATGGGTCTCACAAGGGCAGTATAGGTTGTTCTAAGGGTGGCTGAGTCGGCTCCCCAGTCTCTGCCTGCGATATACTTTAGAATATTGAGACGTCTTCTAATCCTGTTAACCAGGGAGTCAATGTGCCTATTACAATGAAACTCTGGGTCTACAATAAACCCCAAGTATTTGGGGTTTTTGTCATGAGGCATCCGATCTCCGCCAATGGAAATCTGAGGTTGGTAGTTGTATAAATGTCTATTTGTGGTAACACACACGCACACACACATATATATGTATGTATATCCACTGCACATAAGCTACGCATGAGCTATGTTTTTAACTCATAAAATAAGTTAAAAACATAGAGAAATTAAGGAAAATAATAAGGTTTAATGTAAGGAAAGGAAAAAAAAAGAAATATTCTTAAAAAAATTTAAAAATTTATTAAATAAAAATTAAATAATTCAAAATTTAAAAAATTGTTTCCATTGAAGGCTTTTAACCTAATTAATAGCTTTAAATATAATAAACTCTTGGTTGAACTATTTTTAATTATAATGATATTAGCAAACATTTAGAGAAATCATCAAAGTTGTATAATTGAATATCAACATTATTAGTTATAAACTTTAAATTATCCAGTATAATATTATTACCTTGAACACATCCATTTTCGGACCAATCCTTGGTAGCTAACAAATTAACGTGCTTGATTAGAAAGTGGTTAATTATTAAAATCAAAAGTTTCCAGAATTTCGTTTAATTTTGTAAACTTTTTAAAAGTGCAAAACATTGAGAGCAGAATGACTTTTTAAGTATATGCTTGAATCATTTGGTTCGCAAAATCAGTTCATATTTACTAAACCAAGCCAAGAATCAAGTATTTAAATATGAATGGTTGACCGTGTAAAACTAAGCGCAGATGACCCATGGGGTTAAAATTCGTCGTGAGACTTCCGAGTTATTACTTCCGACGGACTTTTACGCCTAAGTTTTACAAAAAAAACGCACCATCCAATATTATTACACTTGTAGTGTTTTCAATATAACGCATTCTTTTAATCTAACTTTTAACGAAACTAACAACAAATAAATTCGGAAGAATCATTGGGTGCACGAAATCATTGTAATCGTAAAATTACACAAATATAGCCAAATAAGGGATAACACTCAAAACATGGCTATCCTTACACTTTATTTATGGCTGCGATATTAATTTTGCTAAATTTGTTTTATGCTCACCATCTGCTTATAAATTACAAAACACTTTTGTGAATGGTAAAATTACGCATAAATTTAAGCACAAATAACAATAACAATATTAATCCTGTTCACGCATCGCCTCGTAAGCATAACATAAGCGGAGGAATACACCGGAAGTTTTCTAAATTTCTTCCGGTTTTAAGAAGCTTGCTATTGTTTACATTCAGTCAACAGTCCATATATTTTGCTACAACAGGAAAATATTTTTCCACAAAGCATATCAATTCAACATCTCTGGAGATATGTATGGCTTCGTGTGAACAGCGATTATTATTCCTTTGTATTTGACACCCATCTGTGTTTCGGGTCTTGAGAGGTTAATAAGCATTTTTAGGGTTTCAGTTATTACGCTGTTAGGTCATTAAGATTATCAGAAGATCTGTTCGTAAATGATTATTTTGTCAAGTAAAATGATTGCGTGTGTGTATTGTTGAGCGCAATTCGTTTTGAATGTCGAAGAAAATCATTTTATATCTCAGGGGTAATTTAAGTAAAAAGCGATCAAATCAATTTCTATTCAATTGAGTCACTCTTGAATGATGAGACTGGAATTATCATTTTGGATAATTCTAAAACAAATTTTAACTGACTTAGATTGATCTGAATTTTAAAGATTCTTTTCCGTTAGTTATTTCTGATTTTTTTTACTAAATTAATATTTCGAACACCATGTTTTTGATTATTGAAAGATTTATTTTCTTAATTGCCTTGTGTAGGAATTATTTATGAATAATTTTTTTAAAAACTAATATTCAAATCGGAAATGTATTTAAAAAAGTGTTTCAGATGGAACTGATTACTATTAGAAGCACTTTCAAGCAAAAAAAAAATATATTGAAAAATAGAAATTGTATATTTCATGAATATATTTTACGAGTATTTGTCATCACCGTTTAAAGACTTTTAGTAATCTTCCGGGATTTTAAAAACGTATTCCATCACGAAATCACATCCTGATTTTATCTTCTTAAGTTCTAAAATGGCTGTCCATCTGAGAGCCCAATGTCACAAGGTTATTAATGCACACGTGTCTTTTCTATGTACAGACATTTCAAGGTGCTTCATTACTAAGCTCAGTAAATATAAAAGCTATTTTTTATGAATATTTTATTCCAAGACAAGTTTGTTTGAACAATATTCAATGCTCATGCGATAAAATTATGGTTTTAGAAAAAGACTTTAAGTTCATAAAAAGTAAAATAATGTTCTTTTAAATTAGAGATAGGTTGTTCTAATCTTTGAGTTTATTGAATAATTTAGTTTAATACTTTTAAAAGAATAATGAAGTTTTTAGACAACGACATTGATTTGTTCGAGATGAAAAATTTGTTAATTTTGTTTTTATAGCGGCCAGAGAGTTTTCCAGTTATTCAAGTAAATGTTACAAAATTTTTAACAGGTGTAATTAGTTCCAAGGCATATAATTATGACCATTCATTAAAAATAAATTAATACTCATTATTGGTTGTGCAAGAAATTGGAACATTAAATACTTTACATAAATTTTGTTGTTTGCCATGAAAGAATTATGCAAGCGGTTCCAGAAACGGCGAAATAATTGTCGCCAATATTTGAAAAAATGACGAAGATTAAATGTAAACTTCTGAGCGTTGAAATTAAAAATAAATGTTTAGAAATTTCCAAAAAGGACAGACATCGAAAAGCTAAACGTGCGAAAAATTCTTCATAGAGTGGTAAATAACTTCATTATAACCACGGAGAATATTTTGCAAGTCTTATAAACGTTCCAATTAAAATTTTCGTTATAGAGAGAATAAATTCGCTCTGTTGGGATATTTTGTCGAAGGAAAACTCTGCTGTAATTTGCAAGTTTGAGTAGAATGGAAAAAAAATCATGAATTATGTTTTCGATAAGTATGAAAAAAGGACAATAAGTCAACAAAAACAGCAACAATGTGTATCTTCTTCTGATTGTCAATAAACCTACCAATTCTTTGAAATAGCACTGTGCGTCCATTTCCGACCTAAATATAAATATTTATATTATTACGGTTCACAGAATAGTTAAAAAATTAAATGTTGAAAAAAGCACTTATGTTATTTCTTTTTATTAATTGCAAAATAAATCATCCTTTGAACGGACGCTTGATACAAAAAATTAAGATAAATATACCTACATTTACCAAGAAAAGAAAAGAAACGAAAACAATAACATTAATTTAAAATTTATAAATCATAAAATTACTACAAAAGCGTTATGAAATATTATGTTTGTTATTTTAATTATCTTCCCTTTTGCTGACGAAAATCAATTTTGCCATTTCTTTGTTTCTTCTCATTTTCTTTGTTAACCGATTCTGCCTTAGGAGTAATTTAAAAAGGCAAACAAACAAGAAATTATTTCATTTTTATTCATTTATATCTTTTTAATCCATAAGAAAAGATAAATTTTCATTAAAATCCTCTTTGTTTGTTGTTATCATTCGTTTCCACACTCTTTCTCGCATTATGGATAGATAAAAGAGTATTTCACAAAATGTATGTAACGAAGTTCAGTGTCCGTCCAAAAAACATTTCGTACTGTACTCCCCTAATGATACCGATAGTTAGTTCAGAGGTATCATAAAAAATTTTTTTTTGAAAATTTTAGTTGCATCTTTTTATAAATCATAATATTTTAAAAGTAATTTTCGATTTTGGTTCACAAGAATTATCATTTTGTACATATAAATGGACTTGCGTATTTAATACGCAGTAAAAATCTCAAGACACATAAAACTGAGTTGGCACGGGCGATTAAAAATGCTAAAAGTGGTGTGAAATGAAATTCGAAATTTTATTAAAATTAGCTACTTTCATGGCGTTAGTTACGATTTAATAATTAAAGAGACACACGGGGATATTCGCGGTAATGAGGTAGCGGACAGATTGGTGAGAAAGGGAAGTGAAGGCGAAACAACCACTGGCTTATACGGAACTTTGTTCCATTGAAAGATCCGAGCTTTATCTATTGTGGCCTATACTATCTACACACCTCTGGTATCACCCCTGGTACCATGCTGGACATAAAATGCGACTGCTTTGGCCAGATTTGTGTCTTACTTTTGAGGGAGCAGAAAGATCTTCCCTACTTGCACAAGAGGCTGTGTTCAACCAGCTTCTCTGGAACATATTCTGGTTTGCCTTGGACTTTCTAAGGTGGATCTTCATCAGGATGCGGGTTTTCTTGCGGTCAGCTGCGTCATGAAGCTTATCTGACGAATGTCAGATTAAGAGGATAAGCAACAACAACAACAACTACCATCGTTCACATTTTTAGTCGCCTGTGACACCCCTGCATAAAGTAACACACATCACAAAGTGGACTATAATGATAGCACGAAGAAACATCTAAGATTCAAACTACATCGGAGGTGCCTTGGTTAACGAAAAAATTAAGAAAAATAGCAGTGTCAAATTTATAAAGCTAACAATGGTAAGAAATACTCACTTGGTATAAAGAGATGCGTATCATCATATTTGCATGCCGGCCGCAAAAAGTATAAAGACAGACCTTAGAGAAAAATCAGTATTACTTATATCAAGGGGGATATTTCTCTTTATTATTACAGCTTTAAAAGAACATTACTTACGCGTACTTCACTTTTAGACACAATGTTAACATTATTAATATACTTAAATTTGACTTCATTCAACCAATTTCGCTCAAAATTTGGAACTTAGCAATGCGCAATTAGATGTTTTAAAGTTATATAAAAAAATTTATGCCCTACAGTTCAAATTTTTTTCGACTGCTGCTAAATAAGGAAATAAAAAATAGTAAATATTTACCAAAATCTATTTTTTGTATGGAATTATATTTGGCTAAAAGAATTTTACGATTCTATGCAAATTTTTTTCAATTCGCTTAAAAAGTTCTTGAGATATAGTGAAATACTCAAAAAATAAAATTAACATTAGGGGGTCCAAATTTTGGATCCCTCTC